ATCAGAAAAGCGTGTGCGCGTTCGAGTGCTCGTAGCAGTCCTTCATAGGACATTGACTTTGAGATACGAGCAGTGGTTTGCCTGCGACGACGCTATCTCATTTCGGCTTATCGCACTTGTTTCGCCGTATCTTATCTTTTCACCGCCTCCTTAAGCTATTCTCTCTCTCTCTCTCTCTCTCTCTCTGTGTTTCTCTCTCACACTATTCCCTTATCTTTCTACATTGCCTGCTTTGCCAAGTCCTACTTCGAATTCATTTCTACGCGATTGCGATTCTTCATTACGTCACTAAAAAACAATAATTGTGACTTATTACCGACTCGTGTAACATTAGCATTATTTTTACAACGATCACTCTTCTTCTTCTATCAAATATTTTAAAAATAACATTTGAGAATTTAGTCAAGAAGATTATTTGGACAAGCTGATTATTGTTACTAATGATCTATGATCTTTAATGTAATTCTCTAATACGCTCTTGATTTTGTACGTTTCCTTTCGGAATAACTCGAACTCGGTCTTTCAACGACACGGCCTAACGAGTATAACCTTGACACTAATTAATAGAGAACGGCGTGCCGTTCGAGAAATACGGAAAGAGAGAAAAAGATAAGTACACACACACACACACACACACATATATATATATATATATATAAATTAAAGAGAGAGATAGGACGATTATCGAGAAACTCGCGAGCAATTGTTCGAGGATATTTTTTGCAAGGAACATATGTTATACGTAATTGAGAAAAATGTCGACATACCTGATACCCCATCATCATCGTCTTCTTGAATGTTCTTAGTAAATCTCTGTCGCGGAAGTTAAGTAAAAAAACAAAAAAAAAAGAAGTTAATAAATTAATTTTATCATCGTTATTAATTTATTATTATTTATCATTCATTGTCTCAAATGTTTTTATTTTTTTTATTTTTTTAGATCCGAAAGGTAGGTCCGGAGAAGCTCTTCCCTTTCATCGAGAAACTCGCGGAAGTTTATAGCGTAGTCCATTTAATCGATCCGTTCTTGCATCGGGTCGTCGAACCGCGCGTTACGTCGTCGTCGACTCCAAACGATTTATAGAGCCATTGACGATCGAGGACGCGAGATCTATCTATCCTGTGCTCGGTATAACTCGTCATGAGCTTTATTTTATGTTAAATATACATCTAATAATGTATATATGAATGTGTGTGTGKGCATAACGTGTGATATGTGTGAATGTGCGTGCGAATGTGCATGCCTTGCATATGCGTATAATTACGATCAATACTTCCTTGCAGATTATTCAAACAAAATGTTTTTTTAATAATATATAATAATAATAATAATATTATTATTATATATGTATAATATGTATATGTATACAGATTAGCAGTAAACAATGGACGTTTGGTTGATTGGTCATTAATCGTGACGATTCACATTTATCCCTTAATTAATTCGTTATCATGCATCTCTATACATACACGCGTCAGGTAATAATTTTATTATTTGCTTTTCAAAATTTATTTCATGTTGTTTTTCTTTTTTTTTTCTTCTTCTTCTTTTTACAAATCTACGCACAAATTTGTCAATGCATTTGCTACAAGATCTACGAAGAAAATTCATCAACGCATTGATTCTACCTCACGCGTCTACGAAGAATTTATTCAATGTCGATGGTACTACTACGCCATTGATAATTTCATTGAATAACTCGTGCGTAGATACGACATTTTTAAAATGGCGGAGGGAGCGGGGAGTGGGTACGATTTATTAAATGAATGAAAATTAATATTAATGAGGGGTTTTTTTTCTTCTTTTTTTTTTTTTCTTTCAGAGAGTAAACTGACAAAGAATTCAATAATGTCTAATCGTATTTATTTTTCATGTACTGGTACTCTAGTAGTCGCTATACGCATAAATACAGTGATGGTCTATTGCTGAAACGAATATACCAAAAAATCTTAGTAAATGTACAGACCTATTTAAGTCATTTTTAAATAGATAATAATAGATTGTGGGTTTGCTTTTTTTTTTCTTTTCTTTTCTTTTCTTTTCTTTATCATTTATCATCGATTATACATCATCCAACAAGAAATGTAGCGTTAATATATTAAATTTTAATACATCGCATATAAACACACTCGACAATCGAAAGGAAGAAAAAGAAATAATTAAAAAAAAAAAAAAGAATGAAATAAAATAATAATATTAATAATAATAATAATATTAATAATAATAAAAATAATAATAATAATATTAATAATAATAATCAACTTCGCGAATCGGCAGTTTTCATTTCTTTATAATATTTCGCTATTATTATTCCCGTTTTCTCCTCGTTATAATTAAAAAAAAAAAAAAAAAAAAAAAAACAGGAATAGGAGCGATGAAAGAAAGAAAGAAAGGAAAGAAAAAGAAGGGACATGAAAGAAATGATAGAAGAGAGGAGGGAAACGGGTATAGATTACGTTTATGGTTAAAAGTAGAAAGGGACGAAAGGGGTGGAAAGAATTACGCGTTTCTATACAAAATTCATCTCTTCAAAGATGAGATGAGAAAAACATTGAAAAAAGAAGGAAAACAAAATTCCAAATAAAAAAAAAAAAGAAAAAAGAAAAGGAAGCATAGATTCGAGACTTACTCGACTAAAGGATAGAGAGAGAGAGAGAGAGAGAGAGATTGAAGATTTTGTTAACGCTATAGTACAAGTCAATGAGATAATACTTTTTAACGAGATTAGACTAAATTTATAATCTTCATCTATCACCGTTAATTTCGCACACGTTTGTTTGTTTCTTTTTTGTTTTTGTTTTGTTTTATCATCACCACACCACTAACCACACTCATAAAATTCATCCATTCGTTCTCACACGTACCACACGTATCATCTCTATGTATGCATTATATTATATTGTAATTTTATGTATTATATACTTCTATATCATCTATTATTTATCTCTCATATTTTATTTCATATTATTATATTTTGTTTTATTTTATTCTTTTTCTTGTTTTTAATTCGACTTTTTAACGTCGCATTTTTATCCATCCGATGATCACGCTCTTCCTCATCACACGCATACACACACAACACATTTAGTCTTCTTTTTAATTATTTTTTTTTTTTTCTTTTTTCACGTAATACAACAGGCATACGACGCATTGTACGAACAATGGCTACAAATATAATCGATAATGAATTGTGATGTAAAAACGTAAAATACATTTAAACGCATTTATTTGCGGGGAACTAACGAGACCGTCGCTTTATTAACAAATATAATATATGATGTGTTTGTGTGTGTGGGTTTATATATATATATTTATATATACGTTCATGCATTTTCATGTTTTTTTTTTCTTTGCAAATCCTCTCGCAAAATTATTTTCCTCATTTTTTTTTTCGTCTCTCCTCTCTATTTTGCACTTAGAGACGCGAACGAATCATCGCGTTCCTCGCATTTTTATTTCTCTCAATAACACTTTTCACATACCACATTTATAATAAGAGATTTATTTTTATTCTCGATTCACTAAATGCCATCGCCTATACGACACTACTCTGGCGATTGATAATAATAATAATAATAATATTAATAATAATAATAATGATAATTATGATGATAACGATGATGATGATGATGATGATGATGGCAATGATGATAATGATGATACATAATTATAGAAAAAAAAATGTGTATACGAAAATGAAAAGAAGAAGAGAAAGAGAAAATCAAATATAATCGTACGCTCCTTTTATTTCCTTTTTTTTTCTATCTTTTTTTTTTTTTCTATATATATAATCATAGTACTCTTTTTCTTCCTCCGTTTCTTTGCGATAGAAAAATCTTTCTTTGTCTTTGGTAAAACTACTTAAATAAATATTGTCGCTTAAAAATTAAGAGATGCATAATAATAATAATAATAATAATAATAATAATAATCATCTGTTAGAGGCTTTTCTTATATCGAACATTTGAAAACCCCTATTGGTTTTAACGATTTTTCTCGCTCCTTCTTTTTTCTCTTTCCATTTCAACATTATTTTTCCCACTTTTTCTTTTTTTTTTTTTAATCTTTCCACGCTCGATCTCATCTTCAATGAGAAATAAAATCTAATATGGGGGAAAAAAAAGTAACGAAACAAGTTATTAACAATTAATAATAGAAGAATTTAACAAATCTTTTAAAAAAGTCGCGATATTTTCGTGTAAGAAAATCAAAATCAAAAAAAAAAAAAAAAAAAAAAAAAAGAAAAAAAAAACCCGCATAAAAATATACGCTCGGGCGTATACGAAAGGATTCCGCCGAAGGTTCGTTCGATTCGGTGCTGTGTTGTGTTGTTGCCCTTTTTTTTACATCGCTTATGATATTTCCTTTCTTTTTTTTTTTCTTTTTTTATTTAATTAGTAAATACTCTTTTCTTTTTTGTTTTTGTTTTTTTTTTTCATTTTGAATGCAGCTTACGACGAACGGGCAAAGAGATGACGTTTTCATCGTTCGTCGATGTTAAATAATAATCCACGGTGCACGTGCGTCAAGGTACTTATCGACGGTATACTTATATTTATATATATATATATATATATTTATATATATAATTTTTTTTTTTATTAATTAATATATAACATATATATATGTATACTTGTGTGTAGGATAAAAGAGGATGGAAAAGGAAGAGACAGGACAGAGATGGAAACAGATAGAAAAAGAGGACAGAAAAGAGAGTGAAAGTGAGTAAGAATGAAAGAATATGTGTTTGTGTTTGTGTGAAGAAAGAAAAAAGAATAAATTCTCACGATAAATAAAAACATTTACGAAGATTGCAACACGCGATTAATATTCCTACAAATTAGTTTCTTTTTAAAACAAAAACTAATTTACGCTGATCCTTTTCCTCCCTCGTATCGAAAGACTTTGAAATTCGTTCATGCTCGAACGAAGCAAAGTCTCGTTCGAGAATCGATACGCGCGTTAATCTTCTTCGTTCTTTTTTGTTCTATTCCATTTCATTTAGATTCGCGAGAGTAAGGAAGAAACGACGACATATCTCGCATGTGTTGCTTCCTAAATATTTCTAATAAGAAACGATTAACACTTAGATCGACTTACATCGATAAAAGAATACGATCGGTGTCTCGCGATGAAATTTTGTTGTTGTTCACCTTATTTCACTTATTTTTCATCTTTTCTTTTCTTTTCTTTTTCATTCGTCCTAATATATACTATATATATATATAAGGTAGCCTCTCTACGTTTATTTTTATCCCAACATTCTCACTTTTCTTCATTTGCTTTTACGTTTAATAAGACATTGAATAGTTTATTAATTTCTCTTTTAAAACTTATACGTCAATTATTATAGAGAGTCTTGTTAATTAGATTACGCAAATCTATGAAAACTCTTGATATCGCACGTGATATCTATCCTATTGAAAAAAATGATATAACATTTGCCTTGACGCAACCTATATCGTATCGTTTAACTACAATCAATATGTCGACGTCATCGTCGTCGTCATTGTCGTCGTCGTCGTCTAAATTTAATTATCAGTATTATTAATAATAATTAATATTATTACTCGTTATGAATAATAAACTGGGAGGTAGCCAGCGCTAAGCGATAGTTGGTTGATCAGTCGAGTCAATTGCAACCCTAACAGCAACAGCAACAACCAACGACAACAACAACAACAACAACGGTAACAGCAGATGATTGATCATTGTTCTTCCAGTTTACTAAAATGCATTTTAATTCATTTCCTCCTCCTCCACCTTCTCCACCACCTTCAGCTTCTGCTCGTCCTCTTCTTTTTCTTGTTTAACAGGAAGAACTCTTCAATTCACCAATATCAGCGATATTCTGCAACAATGCTGTAGTCTCGTTGTTAGATTGTGTTTTTGCGTTGTAACGTTGCTTAAGATCCGTCAGGGCGGAAAGTAGTCGCGTGTTCGATAGCGTCAATCTTGAATTTTCCGCATCCAAAGCAGCTATCTGTTGTTCCAACGCGTCTATCACGCGCTGCTTGTACGACAACGCGGCTGACAGTTTCTGTTCCTTGCGCCGTGACTCCTCCTCCATGGAGATTAAACTGGGAATTAAGAACATTTTATTTTATTCATTTTATTCAAATCTTTTTTTTTTCGTAGTATTTTTTTTCTTTTTTTTTACCAATTATTTTTCTTTTGCATTTTTACTTTCTTTTTGTTTCGTTCATTTTTTCTTTTTTTTTTTTTTTTTTTATA